TTCAAATTCAAGGCCATGTCAGGCAAAGTTAGCAAGACAGTTTTTGTTTGTTTGTTTGTTTCGTCTTTTTGGGGGTGGTCAGTACTGGTAGTTGAACTCAGGGCCTCAGACTTTCTAGGCAGGCACTCTACCACTTGAGCCACTCCCCCAGCCCTGTTTTTATGCTGGGTATTTTCAAGATAGGGTCTTGAAATCTATTTGCCCAGGGCTGGCTCTGAGCCTCAATCCTTCTGATCTCTGTCTCTTGAGTAGCTAAGATTACAGGCATGAGCCACTGGCACCTGGTACAAGACCCTACCTCAAAAACAAAATATAAGCTGGTGAAGTGGCTCACACTTGCAATCCTACCTACTGAAAGGCAGAGGTCAGGAGGACCAGGAAGAGCTGGAGGATCAAAAAGCAAGGTCAATCAAGACAAAAAGTTAGGGCTGGAGGTGTGGCTCAAGTGGTAGAGTGCTTGCCTAACAACCACAGAGCCCTGAGTTCAAACCCCAGCACCATCCCCCCAGCCCAGCCAAAAAAAAGAAAAAAAGTTAGTGAGACCTTTTTCCTAACCAACAGCAGGGTGTGGTGGTGAGTACCTGTCATCCCAGCTACTTGGGAAGTGTAAATAGGAAGGTCACAGAGCAGGCAAGCAGGGTGTAAGTGTAAGATCCATGTGAAAAATAGCTAAAGCAACTGACTGGGGGCTCTACTAGTGGTAGAACAGCTGCCTAGCAAGCACGAAGGCACTGAGTTCTAACCCCAGTGCCACCAAAACAAACAAGCAAGTAAGAGTTGGGGGCATGGCTCAAATGGCAGAGCGCTGGCCTAGCATGTGTTGAGGCCCCAGGCTAATCCCCAGTCCTGCAAAAACAAAGCAACATCATTTTATAGACATCAATGACGAAAACTGGATTTGCAGTTGAAAATATACCACTTATACATCCCAAATAGACAACTAGAAGGGGGCCAGGGCAGGATGTGGGGGGGGGGGTGTACAACACACACAACAGAGAGGGAACAATCTCACAGAAGATGGAAGACCATATACAGTAGGTGATTTCAATACTTGTGAGGCAAAGGCATTCAGATCAGCAGTTCCAAGTCCAGACTGGGCTACATAGCAAGACTCTCAAGCAATAAAACCAACAAAAAAGCCCAAATATGAATAATGCCCAGTGCTAGAGGTATTCAATAAGAAGATATAATCAGACCGCCTCATGCTAAATGGACAAAAGAACAAAGTAAATGCACCATTCTATGTTTTGGCAAATTACACAATAAATAAATACAAGGGCAGGCGGAGAGGCTCAATCAGTAAGAGTACCTGCCTTGAGGCCCTAAGTTCAAACCCCAGTGCTACAAAAAAAACAAAACAAGACAAAACAACCAAGAGAAGACAGTAGACTGCCTGCTATCCAAACTTGAAGTCTTAAGTTCAAACCCCAGTGCCACCCAAAAAAATAAACACATATCCATGAAAAGTCACAGAAACTCATGTACTACCATTTCCTACAAAATTTAAATTTATCTGTGATTAACAAGACTGTAATTTTTTTCTCATCCCTCACAAGCATTTATGAAACGGTAGCTTTGGGACATCAATAAGTGGCTTAGTGGTACAGCATATGTCTAGCATGCACAAGCCCTGAGTCGATACTCAATACTGGGGGGAAAGAAGCTATGATCTAAAGGCAGTGGAATGAGAGAGTGAATGGCTGAATTACAGCCTCATCTAACATCGTATGTGGAAGACATGGAGGCAAACACACCACCAAAACAAAGCATTTCTACTGTATTACTAAGAATGTATTTCTGATCATACGAACTCATTCAAAACTAAAAGAGACAAAACTGCTTGCTGATAAGCTGATATTAAAGCTATAAAGAACATCCAAAATAGCCATCCTTTGGTCAAAGAATGCAAAAGCTGAACCAGATCAGGGAGACACCAGCAATGACCATGGCCTATTTCTCACCAAGATGGAGATTCCATGGATGTTTACAGCCTTATTTAAACTTACTATAAAACAAAATAAATTATTCCACGACCTCTCTTTGCATCTTCATACATCATAATTTTATCTGGTCAAATTCCAAACAAGAAAATCACTACTTTAAGTTCAACTCATGAAAAAAAAAATTTTGTTTTTGGCAGTACTGGGTCCTGAACTCGGGACTTTGTATTTATTAGGCAAAAAATTCTTAAATGCAGCTATAATCCTAGCTACTTGAGGAAGAGACCAGGAGGATCATGGGGTTTGAAGCCAGCCCTGGGCAAACAGCTCGAGACCCTGTCTCAAAAAAACCCATCACAACCAGGCACCAGTGGCTCACAGCTGTAATCCTAGCTACTCAGGAGGCAGAGTAGTTCAAAGTCAGCCCTAGGCCAAAAAAAAAAAAAAAAAAAAAAAAAAAAAAAAAAAAAAGGGCTGGTAGAGTAGCTCAATGTATAGGCCCTAGGTTCAAACCCCAATACTGCAAAAAAAAAAAAAAATCACCAAAAAAGGACTGGTGGGCCAGGTATCCATGGGTCATGCCTGTAATCCTTGCTACTCAGTAGGCACTGATCAGGAGGAAGGGGGTTCAAAGCCAGCCAGGGCAAAATGTCCCAGAGACCCTATCTCGAATATTCTCAACATGGAGTCTTTGCTCCCATTTCCTGCATGGGGAACAGGAAATGTTTCTCTCTACCCCTCCCCTTGTCTATACTTTACTCTGTTATACTAAAATAAATCCTTGATAACAAGTTCAAAAAAAGAAAATACTCAACACAAAAAAAGGACTGATGGAGTGGCACAAGGTGTAGGCCCCAAGCTCAAAAATAAACAAACAAACAAATAAATAAATAAAAGGGCTGGTGGAGTGGATCAAGTGGTAAGGTAAGAGTGCCTGCCTTCTGTGAGTTCAAACCCCAGTGTCACCAAAAAAAAAAAAAATTCTCAAATGCTTAAACTACTCTTTTACAGAAACAAGATTTTACAAAAGAAACAAAAGTGACATGAAAAAGAACCTGAGACACTCCTATTGCTTCAGAAATTCCAAGCTTTTTAGGTTCTGTAGCTAGAATGTGAGAATCTGTAGTAGCTGTTTCACCCACAGTTCAGAAGGTTACACTTCGGTCCCAAGCTTAGAGACCACTCTTACTGTACAGGGGCAGTTCAGGGCCTCACTCCCAGATAAGAACTGAAAGAAAGCTGAGAGGCCAGGAAATTTAATTCTGGGTCCTCCATGCTCCCTACCATTCTCTCCTTCCAGCATGAAGAGGATCCTCTCCCGCACGTTCAAGTCTGACCAGTGACCCAACACTCAGCCAGAGACAGCTGAATGTGTGCTGCCTTTTACTGATACCATTTTTGACACTGAATGTGTGGTGTTTTCTGAACACCAACCCATTCTCCAATACCACAGGGGCGTGCAGTAACTCAACTATGACACCCCGCGAGTGAGCAGAGACCCCACATGTTCAGTGCTCTGGTCCACCACACTGTCACACTAGAGAAGCCAGGTCACAATTCCCACCCTGAAATGACAGAATGTAGGAGCATGAGTCACCTCATTAGCATAAATTCAAAAGAGGCATATTATTATACTAAAAAAAAATACTGCCATTGCTCAATAAATCCCAAGTTCGTTCTTTAGCCAGGAGACAAATAACAATTATTTAATATTACACATCCAAACACACTCTCGATTTCATAAATAATTTTCTCCAGCACGCAGAAGCCAAACACATCTTTTTCTCAGACTGAGGCACACTGGTTTTCTCACATGGCAAACTACACTCTTCCTGATCCAAGTAGGAGCATGCAAAAGCAAACAGCTGCAGATGTTCAATTTTACCCAGGCAATGTGATCCTGGTAAATCCTGGTAAATCCTGGTGACTGTCTTTTCCCCCATCCTGGGAGCCAACCCTGGGCCTCAAGAATCCTACCACTGAGCTACACTCCAAATCAAGAGTGGGGTTTAAACAATGCCCACCACCCCCAATCCGTTCTGCTCCAGAGAAAGAGCCTGAGGCAAGAAACACCTACGCATCAAACTGAGCCACTGCCCCTTTGCCCCTCCCCTTTTTAACCTATGACAAAGCCAGGTACCTGTGGCCAAATCCCCACTTATTTATTCAAAATAATCAGTAAATTTAAAAAAAAAACAAAAACTTATTCAATGAGCTTAAGTTGTTCTCTGTTCCTTAGGCTTGTGATCTCTGACCACCCACAACCTGGGACAACACATGACCCCTCCTTGTCACCCTAAGAACAAGTGACCTCAGAGACATCTCCCCTGTCCCGGGAGCTGATGCTGCCCTAAATCGCCCTCCTCTCCCCTTCTTTCTCCTCCCTGGAAAGCACAGCCTGCTCGCCTGGCCCAGGAGACCCCGCAGACTTGCCCTTGGGGCTGTCCCGCTCCGCCACCCTCCTTTCAATAAACTCAGGTCCTGTCTCCGGTAGGCTTTCCTTTTTAAAACTGTCTACAAACAGCCCAAAGATCGTAACGATCGTGACAAAGAAGACTGCAAGTCTCTCACTCCACTTCAACCCCCCAAAACCGTGCACGAGGGTCCCCTTTCCTATGAGTCTGGCAACGTGGGGAAGGAACTGATTATTCTGGGATTTCTCGCCAGACTCAAGAGGCGCGGGCATGAGGGCACAGGTCCTGGACTGGAGATCCTGCAGCCAAATACTTCGGAATTCGAGGCGATCAGCTTTGTCCTGACACAAAGGAGGGACAGGGGACCCGCGCACGGACCCACGCGCGGACTCGGGGGTGTCCCCGTGTCCCTCCCGCCGCCCCCGCACAGTGCGGGGCGTCGCAGGGCTGCGGCGGGCAGAAGTCACCCCTCAAGGACAGCGCGGGACGCCAGGGTTCTGGGGCCGCCCAGCCCCCACCCGGGCCCGCTGCGGGACTCGGGCCGCAACGCTGGGAGCTGAGGGGAGGCCCGAGCCGCCGCGGCCGCTTCCCGCCGGTTTAACGGCCCCGCCCCGCCACGCCGCCCCGGACCCCCGACCCCGCTCACCATTGCCGGCTCCTAGGGTCCCCGGGTCTTCCTCAGGGCTCCCGAAATTTGTGAAGGTCACGAAGCAATGAAGCCGAGACACCTGGGACACCTCTCAGGAGCCAGGAGAGCACAGCGAATATGGCGGCGCAGGAAAGGAAGTTCCCACAGGTAAGGAGCGGCGCCTCCTCCCCTCGGCGCTCCGGCGCGGACACCGCCCACAGCCCGCCCCTGCGTCGCTGATTGGCTGGGACGCGAAGACCCGCCCCCTCGCCCCCACCCCCGAGCCCTGAGTGACGGGAGAAGCTGACCTCTACCTGGCGGCGGAAGGGAGCTGAGCTATTTAAACCACGAGCGTTCCTAACCCAGCTCCTCCAGGGACGGGGGCTGCAGAGACGCATCCCAGCCTGGCAGATAATTGCATTGAAACAGAACCTGCTCCTAGCTTTTCAGGGGGGGGACATCAGCGTCCTCCTGTACTCGGTGGACTCTCACTGCACCTTCTTACTGGAAACTGAGTCCCAGGCGTGCCCAGGGCATTGTCCCATGCAACTCACTCCTGACCTCAGAGGAGAGAGACCTAGGCCAGGCCAGGGGGGCCTCACTGCAATAGGAGAGGGGGGCCTGATGTGTTGGGGTCAGGGCGTTGGCTTAATAGCCAAGGCTTTATGAAAGCTTCTCTCTCAATGTATCCATTTTCAGCCAAGAAAATAAAAATATGCAAACGAAGTAATATAATTATTCAGTGCGGGAGAAACTGGAGATATATGGCAGCAATGTTCTGCAAAGGTATAGTGAGAAGAAGCAAACGTGAGCTGGATCAGACAAGCAATCGACTTCACCCAAGGTCACAGCAAAACCCCAATTCAGAAGATTGAACACTTTCCCAATGTCCTGCCGTTGATTCTTTCTGGTGGGATACAAAGAATTTGGAAGTCTTCTGATCACAGATTGCACCAGCACCATTAACACCACTGCTCTGCAGTTTCTCTCTGTCACTCCTTCTGTACTTGTTCTGAGCAGCTGGAGGCCACATGCAGAGGAGGGCAGCTGCCCAGGAAGCATCAAGGGAACCTCTGTCTTGCCTTTGCAGCCTCAAGATTGACCTAGAGTCCCTGACCCCAGGCCTCTGCCCTCTGCCCCCACTGCAGGTTATCTACCTGCTTCATCCCAACAATAAGGAGTTAAAGGAGAGAAAGATTCTGGAGCCACTTCTTTGAATATGAAACCAGGAGAGTCCCACTTTCCTTCTGTGTAACTGAAACAAGGAAAATTCTAGGATATTTCATGGGCATTTACAAACTGGCAAATATTTTTCCTTTGATAAAGTTTACGTGCCAGCACGATATTATTTTCATGTGACCCAAATGGTATGAAAATCAAGTAATCAAATGTAAAGTCCTCCTTTCTTCATCTACTTCAGCAGCACACACCTTCCTATCTGATCACTGTCACCAAGGACCCTGTGTGTGGGATTTGCATAGTTTACTCTTCGGAACTGCTTCCCTATTCCTTCCCTACCACCACCGACTGACTCATCCACTTATTATTACAGTAAATCCTAAGCATCCGAGAAACACCTTGCTCTTTCCACTAGTGTAACCCTCCTGAGGCCATCTCACCCTCTATTTAAATTGCCCATGCAAAATTGTGTAACAGAGCCCATGCCAGTGGCTCACACCTTTAATCCTAGCTCCTGGTAGGGCTGAGTTCAGGAGGATCTCAGGTGGAGGCAGCCATGGGGAATAGTTGAAGATACCCCACCTCCAAAATAACCCGAGCAAAATGGACTGGAGGCCTGGCTCAAGCGGTGGAGTGCCTGCTCAAAGCCGTAAGCCCTGCGTTCAAATTCTACTACCACAAAAAAATGTGATACAGGATAGATAATGGTATTTTGGGTGAGGACCAAGTACATTTTCTTGCTGTCAAACCACTTGCAAATTGAGAGCATTCATCACCTGTTACAATATTTGATTTTGTCCGGTTTCTGACTCAAGAGCTTCTGAAACAACTGAATTCTCTGGAGTGAAAAGACTGCCTTTTTCATGCTGATGAGATGCCTGGTGGCTGGGAACCCCTAGGTAGTGTCACAATATAGAATGGTCAGGTAGCCAGAAAGAACAAGGCCTGCGTAAGTCTGGCACTGGAGGCTCACGCCTGTAATCCTATCTACTCAGCAGGCAGAAATCAGGAGGATCACAGTTCGAATTCAGCCTGGGCAAATAGTTCTTGAGACCTTATTTTGAAAATACCCTTTGCAAAGAAAAGGGCTGGTGCTAGTAGGCCCTGAGTTCAAACCCCAGTACCACAAAAAAAGAAGACATGATTAATGGGGGAGGGGACATTTTAAATTTACTTATTTTTATATGATAATTTTCATAGATTTGGAATGTGCAGCCTTGCCCCCTTGGTAAGAAGAGGGGCTAGAGATTTGCGATTGAGTTGATCATCTTGAACCAAAGAACTAATCAGTCATGTGAACACAGCAGAAACCTTCATGAAACCCCTAAACAAGGAGGTGAGGACCTTCTCCTTCCCCATGCCTTGCCCCCTGTGCTCTTCCATTTGGCTGTTCCCAGGATACATATCTTATCATAAATTGGTCACAGCAAAGAAACTTTTCCTTGATTCTGTGAGTCATTTTAACATATTAGCAAAACTGAAGGGAGGGGACACAGGGGGAACTTGACAAGGTAGCCAAGTTGGGCAAGCCCAATTCTTTGACTGGCATCCAACTCGTCAGCTGTCTTGGCAGACTGGGCCATCAAAGCTTGGTTGGTGACACTAACGCAGGTAGTGTCAGAATGTAATGCCATCGTTGGACACTCAGGTGGTGTCTGGAGAGGTGAACTGGTTGTGGATAACGAAAGAGCCCACTTACTTGCTGTCAGAAGTCTAGTGGGGAAAAAAGACGTCAAGTCCTCTCTCCTTGTTTTGTGTGTGGTACTGGGGTTTGAACTCAGGGCCTACACCTTGAGCCACTCCACCAGCTCTTTTTGTGTGATGGGTTTTTTTTGAGATAGGGTCTTCTGAACTATTTGCACAGGCTGGCTTTGAACCATGATCCTCCTGATCTCTATCTCCTGAGGGGCTAGGATTGCAAATGTGAGCCACTGGCCCCCAGTCCAATATCTTAAAGATATTTCTAACACTAGATTGTGGAAGAGGTGGTGTCCCATTTGGAAAAGATTGAAGGGCAGAGAAGAGCTTCCCAGGCATGTTGGGACAGCATTTTTGCTATACGGGAATAGTTTAAACAAAGCTATGGGGATGTCCTCAGATGGAGACAGGGAGCCTGGATACATGAGTAAGGACAGATCACGAAGGAACTTGACAATCCACAGAGAACGCTGGATCTCCAGCCAGCAGGAGCCCAGATAAACGGTTTGTGTAGACTGCAGGTTGAGACCAGGTTGCAGTTGGAAGGAGGGGCCTGGCTCATTCCTTTCCCCTAAGTGCCAAATACATCTAGACTGACCTAGATCCGACTTGTTTTTTATTTTTTTATTTTTGGCGGGGGGACTGGGGTCTGAACTTCAGGCTTTATGTTTGCAAAGCAGGCGCTGTACCATTTGAGCCACACCTCCAGTCCATTTTGCTCTGGTTATTATTATTTGTTTCTAGTACCTAGGTTTGAATTCAGAGCCTCATGCTAGCAAGGCTGGCACTCTCCCACTTGAGCCTCTCCACCAGCCCTTTCTTTTGTGTGTGTTTTGTTTTGTTTTGTTTTTGCAGTACTGTGCCCTTCACCTTAAGCCATCCACCAGTCCAATTTTTTTGCAATGGGTTTTTTTTTTGAGATAGGGTCTCAAGAACTCTTTGCCCAAGCTGGCTTTGAACTGTGATCCTCCTGATCGCTGCCTCCTGAATAGTTAGGATTACAGGTGTGAGCCACCAGTGCCCAGATGTGTTGGGTAATTTTGAGATAGAGTCTCACAAACTACTTGCCTAGTTTAGCCTCAAATCATGATCCTCCTGATCTCTGCTTCCCAAGTAGCTAGGATTACAGGTGTTTTAGAGATGGGAATCTCATGAACAATTTGCTCCGGCTAGTCTCAAACCATGATCTTCAGCCTCTCAAGTAAATGAGATTATAGGTCTGAGTCACCAGCGCCTGACTTACTTTTGGATTTTTGGAGAAACAGAATTTAGCTAATGTCTTCTCAATGATAGTATAGTTTACTCAACTCAGCAGAAGTCTGGAAGGAACTGGGTGGGGTGGGGGGGTGGTACAGACAATCTTTAAGAAAAGAATGCTAGCCAGGCACCAGTAGCTCATGACTGTAATCCCAGAACTCAGGAGGTAGAGATCAGGAGGATCGTGGTTCAAAGCCAGCCCAGGCAAATAGTTCTTGAGACCATCCTTTCTTTGCTTCTGGTACCCAGAGACAAGAGGGGAAAAGGACCAGGGTTCAGATGCAGGGGTGGCATGGCAATGGGTCAGGAATGACGTGTATGGTTCTTCTCTGACCTACTTCCCCATGTGTCCATCTTACAGGGAGTAAATCTGGTGACCTTAAACATCCTGATAGATCAATAAATATAACAACTCTTAAAACCTAGGAAAAAAAAAAACATCCTGATATAATCATGGTTGAGGTAGATTTCTCCTAGGTTCCTGTTTCTTTGAAAGACATTGATAACATTAGGCTGTTTCGTTGCTCTTATTATTGTTTTTTGTTTTCTGGTTTTTGAGGCACTGGGGCTTGAGCTCAGTGCCTCACACATGCAAGACAGGTGCTCTACCACTTGAGCCACTCTGCCAGCCCTGTCCCAAGCTTCCAGAGCAGCTCCGTGAGACACAGATGAGCCAGACCCTCTCCTAGCCTAGGAACACTCAGTGCAGTGGGAGGACAGGCACACGCAAAGGCGGCTCCTGACAGGCAGTAATGGAGGTGTGAGTGACTGTGGCTATGGTGCCAACAAAGGGTGAGTAATACTCTGGGGGGAGTGACTAAGGACGGAGGCAAAGACCTGGACACCGCCACTATCTCTCAAGAGTCATGAGATGTGAGGCTGAGAAAGACCAAGCAGATGCAGAGAGGAGCAGAATGACAGAGAAAGTCTTAATCAGAAGGAGACAGAAGGACAAGTTAAGGTGCTTAGACTTGACTCCACTCCCCTTGAGCCCCTCCCATATGATGCTAGCCTTGCCC